TGTTGGTGCGGGGGACGGACAGCCTGCTGCAGACAGATGTCAAGGAATTTGTCTGGAACTTTCCTTGGGGCTGATGTTGGTGCTGGTGCCCGGGCAGGGGAAGGGGGCGGCGGGGGAGGTGAGTGGTCCAGGGGGGCGGGTCACGAGCTAGGCCACCACTTGGGACCGAGCGCAGCTGCTTAACCCTCCTCACAGGACTGTGTTCTAGGTGTTTCTCCTTGCACGGTGCAGGGAGGTAAGGAGAAGGAGCCTTTCCTCCACCCCAGGGCGGGGGCAGTGAACAGGGACACAGCAGATCCCACCGACTCGGTGGCAGCAGCAGGACACAGAGGGGGAGGAGGTGGGAGGCTGGCAGGGGGCTGGACTGGATGCCAGAGCCGGAACCAGCAGCCAGAAGCCCCACAGATTCGAGCTGGTCTGGGAGGTGGCCCCCAGCAGGGGTTGGTGCTGCTCCCCAGGGTCCTGTACTTGCCCTTCCCCTCGCCCCTGGGCAGGCGGGCTCTGCTCTGTCCCCAGGCTGCCTCTGGGGCTCAGGGCCTGGCCTGCGGTTCCCCTGTCTCGTGCCCTGGGGGCCTTGGCCTTACTACGGCAGCTGCGGCCAGGCTGGAGCACACATGAGCATGCCCAGGGGCTGAGGTGTCCCTCTCAGAGGGGACCCGTGCGGGTGGCCACTGGGCAGAGGGTTTCTCCAGGCTGATGGCAGCCTTTTCTGAATGACAGCAGTGACAGTAGGCGCCTTCGCGGCCACCACCAGCTGTGTGCCAGGACCTGTGTTAAGTTTCGGCAAATGGCAGTTCAGGGAATCCCAGGCTGGGGCGGGGGGGCACTCCGGGGTCTCGGATGGTGCTTCCGTGGCTCCCCTCTGCGGCCCTGTGCCCGGAGCCCTGCCCTCAGCCGACCACCCTCCGGGCTGGGGCCAGGGTGGGGAGACCTCTGGCCCCCAGCTCTGGGCACACAGGGTCCTCCTGGTTGCTGCCACTGAGATAAGGCTGAAACCTGGAAAGCCCGGGGAAGGGGGACGGGGCCCGCACTACCTCCACCAAGGGGAATGGCCTGGGTAGGGGTCCGCCTCAGTGGCTGGTGGCTAGAGACGCCTGTCTGGGCTCAGACTCCTGCCCCACCCAGCCCCTGATGTCTGCGCTCCCTTGGCTGTCATGCTCCACTCCAGCCCGTCTCTACACCCCTCCACGGGGGACACCGCCGCTGCAGGGACAACGCTTTCTCCGTTGCTTCGGGCCCATCAGAGGTGCTGGGAAGAAGGGGTTGCTTTCGGCGTGGCTGGAAAAGGGGACTGGCAGCCCCAGGGGCAGCTCACACTCCATCAGGTCATCAGGAGGTCCGGGGAGTAGGGGAGCCTGGGGCCGGCCTGCGTTCTCTGGGCTCCTCTGCTTGGAGGCACAGGGCGGGCCCCACCACGGTGCTCCCAGCCACTGGTCAGGTGAGGGGGAGCTGCCGACCAACTCTGGGGCTGGGGTGCTGAAGTCTGGACCCAGGGAAGGACCGAGTAGGAGGCTGCAGGCCTGACCCATCTCCCCTCCGGCGCAGCCCGCCGGTTCTGGCCCCTGTGACTCCCGTGAGCCCTCGGCAAGTTAGGGTAACTGGCCTGTCCTGTCTGCCTGGCACCCTGGGCTAACTGGTCACCCTCTTGCCAACTGAGTCAAGGATCAAGATGGCTTCCTGGGGGGGAGGAGGGGCTAATTGGTACCCTAGAGTCCCCATCAGTGCCGGCCTTGGGGTATTCTGATAAAACCATATAGAAATAAGGCCAGCGAGTCCCCGAGCCCAGCCCTGGGTTTATAGCAGAACATCAAGAAAAGGGCACAGCTCCCCCACTCAGCCCGCTCTCTCCTTCCCACGCCCCCCACCCCCCCCGCCACGGAAGACAACAGACAGTCCTCTTTATAAGTACGTTTTTACTGAAAATAAAAAAGGCATGGTACTTTCTTCCTTGTAAAGAGCATCCAGCCTGCCTCTCCACCCCGGCACCACCGGTCCTGCTCCTGAGGTGGTCTCCGCACAAAATCCACAGGAGCGGCTCGCTGGTGGACAAGACGGCCCGGACTTCATGCTTGTCCACGGAGACAGAGCTCCTGCGGACGAGAGCCCTGTCGCTGTGTGCGCTGGGCACACGTCAGGAAGGCAGATCTCAGGGAATGCACATTCATGCGTTAGAGAGCGCGCACACCTGGGCTGTTGGAATCAGACTTTGTACAGATTCGCAGAGTACAGTGATTTTATATAGATAGAGATCTCTTTAAATATATATATATATATATAACGGTATATAATATATATGTCTATATTTTTACAGCTATTAGTCTTCCTTCCAAAACTTGCTCTGGAAGCTTCTAAGGAACACCTAAAAACTCTGGGAGATCCTGTAGGCCGTTCTAAGTTGGGCTCGACTAAGAGACAGTTAAAAAATATCTATTTGAGAAAAGGCAGAAAAGAAATGTGCATTTCATTCTCGACCTCAAAGTTTGGGCTAGTCTGAGGATTGGTCTGTGTTAGGACTGCAAATACATTCCTTAAATGAAAGTTCTGAGCTCAAATACCAGGCCATGTGGTTGTTTTTCTTTTTTTTTTCCTGTCACTTAAGCCAAAACTCCGGTGAGGTTCCCTTGCTGCCGCGTGTGAGAGTTCCCAAACGGCCACTTCCAGGTTTGGTGGGTTGACTTCCATGTTGATTCTTTTTTAAGAACTAGGTCTGTTCTTCTCTTGGTTTTCACTAACTGAGGGAGGAGAGACTTTACAAATGCGATTTGGGGGAATTTATGCACAAATGTTAGCTCTTCCCAGAGCTCCGCTTGTGTCCCCCAGGAAGGGGACACTGGCTGCAGGGCACCATGGGTAGTTGTCAAGCTTCCTCATGGGGGCGCCTTGCCAGGGGCTGAAGGATTTGGCTAGTTGTAAAACCTCCTAGGGTGAAGCCAGGGTCAGGAAAGGTGGGACAAGTGGGATTGTGCAAAGCGGGCCTATGCCCTGCCTCCCTGATGTCTCTCCAAGCTGGCCGTCCACCCCTCCATGGCCCCTTAGCTGGGATTTTCCCCTCTGACAGAGGGGGCCTTCCCATCCCCTCTGAGTCCAGGGTGGCACATGCTGGCGGTGGGGGTCCTCCCTGGGTATCTGCTCTGGGCATAAGCTGGGGACTCAGCGGGAGGCTGGAGACCGTGAGGGAAAGCGCCCCCCACACCCTCTGGGCTCTTGTCACCAGCTCTGCATCCCTTGGGGGAGTGGGAGGCATGGGCAGAGAGGACTGCCCAGCGCCCACCGGCTGGGGGCACTGACCACGGCCACTGGCGGTAGGGTGCCGTGCTCACGCAGGCAGGGCAAGCCAAACCCAAACCCAAAACAGGTCCTCACACTGAAGGAAACTGAAAAGAACGAACCCTTTCTGGGAGGGCCTGGGCCTGTCCCTGCTGACCTGGTGGGGAGGACCCGGGTTAGGGTCCCAGCAAACTCACTTTCTCCCCTCTGCCCTCCAAAACACAATGGACCACAGACCGCTCCGTGGGCACAGGAGCTCCAGGACCATGGAGTTCCAAGGTTCAGCCTGAACGGGGACTTGTTTTCTGTGAGGCTTACCTGGATAGGAAATTCTCACTGTGGCCCAAACACCCTCCAGGGAATTATGGCTTGATGGTCTGGAAGGTGGAGAGGGTCTACTGAGCTAAGTCCCTATGCAGAGAGAGGAGGACCATGACATGTGTCCAGTTCTTCTGCGCAACTGTGTGGGACGTGAGGGAACCACGGGGTCGGGAGTGTTCTCCCAGTCCGCCAGGGGAGACCGAGCCACAGGCCACTGTCTCCACGGGGTTAGTCGTGTGCCCACAGGCCCCGTGGCCACCCGGGACACAGGCGGGTGGACCAGGATTACCAGGCCCAGAGGATCGTCTCCTTCCATCCTCTTTCTTCCCTTCATCCACCAACCCCTCCGGAGGCTTCAGCATGTTTTAAACACAAGACCTTGGGAAGAGACATTCAAAGGGGAGCACTGGGAGGACACCACCTCCCTGTGGGTGAGGGGGGCCGGAGGCTCTTGGGAGAGGGTCTGTACCTGGTCAGGGCCTTTGGGGTGTGGGGGGTGGTGGTTGTCAGAGGACCCAGAGCCAGGTCAGGGCAGCCTAGCCCGGAGTGCCCACAGGGGCTTGGCACAGTGGCGGCCTCCGCCGGATGAGGGCGGGGCCTGGCTCACACGCGGCAGGTGCTATGAGGCTCAGCTGCGGGGATGAGTCTGAGGACGGGCGGAGGGACCTCTGTCCTTCCTGGCTCCTTGGCCTGGTGCCCAGTGAGCTGCTTTGCCCCTGAAAGGTCAGACACTAAAAGAGCTCCTCTGTCTGCTGCCAGGAGGGGCCTCTGCTGGCCGGGCTCACAGCCCTCCGTGGCAGCGGGGCAGGGGTCCCGAGCCAGGGGCCCTGGATGTGGGTGCGAAGGGGAGGAAGGAGGCAGGCCCTGAAGACTGAAGAGAGTGGCAGATGTGGCGACAGACAGATGTGTGGGAAGCACCTTTGGAAGGGGACGTCTCATGGCTCTGCCGATGGCTTCTGTCGGGATGCACGGTGAATGGAGAAGTGGACGGGCTTGCTGGGGAGAAGGAGAGGTTTTCTGGCAGGGGAGTGGCCCCAGATCACCTTTCTCTTGGCCCAAGCAGGATGCCTCCCTGGCCCGGCACAGACAGACAGACAGACAGACTCCCCCTGCCTTTGTCAGAGCACGGCCGGGAGACAGGAAATCAAAGACAAGACAGGGAGGAGATGTGCAGGGCCTGGGGTGCGGGGCTGTCCCCAGGAGCTGCGTACAGGGAATCCTGGCTCAGCCTGGTGTCTGCGCTGCCTTGCTTGTGAGGTAACCGGGGTCAAGGCTGGGAAGAGGATGGTTTCTTCTTTGGAAGTCCTGGACAAGCCTAGCGTCAGCTCAGGTCCACTTGCTTTCCCAGGTCCACTAATGCCACCAGCGCCACCAATGTGCCCCTCTGGCCAGCGGGTCCGAGGTCTGCAGACTCACACTACGGCGCTGTTCACGTCCACCCCTTTGCTGCTCTGCGAGGAGGTCATGGGATACTCAGCAACACTGGTGCCATTCTCCTCTTTTCTCAGTGGTTTCCTGGGAGGGGAGGCAGGGACAGGCATGAATGACAAGTGACTGGGGCGGGGGAACCGTGTCCTTCCAGGGGGCCCACCAGGCTCTGATCTGGGTTAGCATCCTTGGGCTGCGGGTCCTGGTGGGGGCCAATCAGAAGCTGGAGGTGGTCTCAGCGAAGGTGACCACATCACAAGTCATGCACACCAGGGCACAGCTGAGAGGGAAATGGGCACTTTTAATAAGGAAGCAGGAACAACAGGTGTGAATTGGGACTGTTCCGGACAAATGAGAATGGAGAATGTACAGTCAGCCTGGTAGGACATTATTAGGCTTTGATCGATCTCTTTGATTATGAGCAAGCAGATGTGAAGATGAACATTTGGGGGTGCAGAGTGAAAAGAGGAGAGGGGCCAGAGGTTGGATTTTGCAGCCTGGCCTCTATGTGGTCAGAGGAACGTGGAAAACGTGATGAAGAGGATGGTGGTGAAGGTGAGGCTGGTGGTCGTGATGGGGGGTTGAGGTGGCGGGAATAGTAATGTGAGTGGAGTTGGTGGCCGAAGTGGTGATGGTGGTGAAGGTGGTGGTTATGGTGGAGTGGGTGGTGGAGGTGATGGTGAGGGGGTGGCGGTGGTTGAGTCGGTGGTGTTTTTGGTAATGAAGGTGGTGACGATGGTGGTCGTGTTGGTTGGTGGTTGTGGTAATAATGGTGGTGACGATGGCGGTGGTTACGGTTGTGTTGGTGGGTGGTTACGGTAATGGCGATGGCGATGCTGCTGATGTTGTCAGGAGTCCTGGTGATGGCAGTGGTGGTGATGGTGGTTGTGTTGATGGTGACAGAGGTGGTGGCAGTGAACGGCCAAAGTAAATGAGCGCACGCTAGTGCTTCTCAAACACTTCACATTGGGCCCCTTGAAGCTCATTCCAGAGGCTGTCTAACCCCTAGAACCTGTTCTCTTAACTGTGCATGGCTCAGGAAGGCTGGGAGAAAGGCTTTGAGAAGGCTCTTGCTCGCACCCGGGGTTCCGCAGTGGCGGTCCTACTCTCTGGTCTGGCTCCAAGCCCACCTGCTCTCCCGCCTGGTTCAGAAGGGCCCCAGCCCCCGGCGCTAGGCCTGCTGGCTTCAGCCTCCCGATCTCGGCCACGCAGGCCATGGAGCCCAATCCCATGTTGCAATATTGCTGTCTCCTGGGGGACTCTGAGGCCCACGGGGTTGTAAGCTCAGTCACCTCCTGTGTCCCCACGACCGCTGGGGCTGAGCCTGACCTAGACTTTGTTGTGTGTTGTCTACATTGAACGTCCCTGGCCATCTTTGAAAGCCTGGCGATTGGTTGCTTCGACCTTCTCAAACGTCCCTAGAGCCTCCCCAAACCCAGGCTGCGGAGGACAGGTACTCGGTGACCAGCTGGGGGCCTGTGGGATGAAGTCTTGGGTGAATTGGTTTAGGGGAGGCAGGGTAAAGGGAGGTTATCAGTAGTGCCATGGGTGTGATTATCAGGCCCGCTCAGAGGCGAAACCCCAAGATCACATCTATGACCTGTTCCCTATTGTCTTGCAGGAGAGTTAGCTCACAAAACCCAGAGAGAAACCCAAAGCGCACTCACTCCGGGTGTCAGGCTTAGCCATGGTGGCTTCTAGAAATGTGAGCTACAAACCAGCACTTCTTCCTGGGGCCCATCGCCCTTTGGGCAAATCACTCTTGGTTACAGACTTTCTTGTCCCTTCTTATAGTGGTCCCCAGAAGGAGCTAGGCCTGGGGTTAAGGGTTTCATTTCATGGGGACACTGATGCTTAAGGAGAGCTGTGACTTGCCCAAGGATCCCCAGCTGGTGGGTGTCAGGGCCTGGACCACCACCTGCTCCTACCATATCCTGGTCCAGACATCTTCCCATTAAGTCAGTATTCCCAGCAGGCGTTGTCCCCCACCATAGTGGAGCTCCCATCAGCTCGGAAAGGCCATCCTCTACCTTCCTCCTGGAGCACTCCAAAAATTCTCAAGAGTCCTCCAAGAGTTCTCATTTTGCTTGAACCCAGTGCATCCCGAGAACCCCATTAATGGAGGTGCTCAGGGACACTTTCCAGAACCCCCAGGTTTGTAGGGGTCCGACAGTTGCCTTGATTGTGATGGGCTTGTGGAAATGACAGTCTCTGTCCCTGGGCCTGTTTCTCCTCGGTCTTCTTCCTCTCTCCCCTGGGCCGCCACCCACCCCTTTCCAGGGGCTTCGAGCCGCTCTGACTTTGCTGGGTGGGCTTCGTTCCCAACTCTGAGTTTGCATGGCCTGGGAAACTGGGCTGGATGTGCATTTCTATTTGTCATCCATCTACAAAGGGGAGGACGGACATCAGAATCAGGATTCCAGGAAATAGGGACAGACAAAAATCTCGGAGCCCAAACCCACACTGCTTTTCTCCCCAATAAATGATCAATCTTGGGCTTGGTCTAAAAAGTCAACCAGAGCAGGTCCGGCTCAGGGGCGATGAGGCTGAAGGGTTTTCCAGAGTGGATAATGGAGAGATGAAGAAAGGGGTCTGGCACTCCCATGGAAATGGGCAAGGCATGGAGGGTTCAGAGTTTCCACCTGTTTCAGATGAGGGTAGGAAATCAGCAGGATTTCTTCCGCCAGGAGAAGAGGTGGAATTTCTAAAGCCAGGCTGCTGGCTAGGAGACCTCTTTGTGTCCCCCAGAGCCTTGGAGGAAAAGGTTGGCAGAGAGGGCCTGGCAGGAAGCCAACCTGGCTGGAGGGACACTGAGGACAAGGCAAGGAGACAGCCCCACAGCCTTCTCAATGGCCCCGGCCACTTCCCAGGCAGGAAAGGACAAAGGGGGTCAGGGCATGGGCTTCACCCAGCGAAGTGGCACCTGTGACTGACGCAGCATCCTTCCCCCTCCCCCACCCCAGGAGCATTCCAAGAGTCTGGGCACTGCAAGGGTGTGGGTGGGGGTTTGGGGGTCACTGTCCCAAGGAGTCTCCTGAGAAATGGACCTGGTCTGTTCCCCTCCTCCACCAGCGCAGAGCCCTCAACCACTGTACCCTCTGGGCTGCTGCCCCAGCCCACTCCCAAAGCCCTTCTGTGATGCACAGAAGCCCAGTGGAATCTGGGGTTTTAGCTACAGCAGGAGATGGCTCTGCCTTGCCCCCTTCCCGCACCATCCTTCCTCTAGCAGGGGACTTCAGGGTGACGCTGCCCCAGCGCCGGGATATCCTAGCTCAGTAAACCCAGGCCCACCACTTCCAGCTGTATGATCTTGGGCAAGCCACTTAACCCCTCTCTGCCTCAGTTTCCTGGTCTACAAAATGGGCACAAGAATGGTGTCCATTTCATAGGCTTGTGGGGAGGATGAAATACGTTAATGTGGGTTAAGCACTTAGATGGGCACTTGGCATACAGTAAGGGCTCCATAAGTGTTTGTTAGCTCTCAGTACTGCTGTTGGAAAGCTGTCAGCGGGGAGCTGTCCCAGGTAGGGGGAGGGGATTAGCGGCAGCCAGCGCTCTCCAGTCGGCACAGACCTCCTACCTAATGGGTGCCCTGTGGGGCTCCGGAAATGCCAGAGAGGCTCACTACAACCCAGCCTGGGTCTGCAGCGCCGTGAGCCAGCCAGGGCTGGTCCCGCTAAGCCAAAGAAGGCCACCTGCACCCTGGTGCAGGAAGGGATGGCCACAGATGATGCCCTACAAGGCCTGGTTCCTAAAACCAAGAGAAAGGGGAGTGAGCTTTTCCTTGGCCATGCCCAGGATTCCTGCCTGGCAGAGGGAGGGTCCTCCACTCTGAGACCCCTTCCTCCCCTTGCCCTGGGCCGGGCAGCAGCAGCCCCTGGGCACCGCCATGAGCCATGGCCTCTGCAGAAGACGCGACCGCCAGCACAGCCGGCCTGGGCAGGGAGGCCGGGGACCCAGGTGCCCCTCCCGGGTCCTGCTGACAGTGATATGACACGTCCCACCACCAGCCAGTTGCTCCTGCTGGAGGAGCTGGGGACAAACACAGCCTGGAGGAGTCCAACAACGGAGGGCTGCCAGCTCGCTCCTTGTCTCACGCACCCCGCGGAAGGGTCTGTTTTCCACGAGGTTTAGAGGTCTCTGACTCCCTCTTCTGAAAGCATCCATCCTCCCCTGCACGGACCCCTGAAGCACACACTCAGACGAACCCACCCCACCTGCATACACACCCCGACCCTACACACATACATACACATATGAGAATGCCTGGACACTCATACCCACTCACACCCTTCACACACACACACACACACACCCTTCCACGACGAGATGCCTTGTCGCCCGCAGGCTTCTCCAAACCTGGGTCAAGAAGCCAGAGAAAGCCTTCGCGGGCCACCCAGGGTAATTGCTGACCGTAAGAAGCAGCGGCCTCATTTCTAACCCAGCACATCTCCTCCCCTCCTCCCCTCCTCCGCTGTGTGAAGATGAGTCAGGCGCTTCCTTGATGAACCATGTCTGGCTGAGCAAGCCGAAGGCAGGTGACGATGAGGCTCACGGGCTGGTGCTCGCCCCCAGGACCCTGCCAGGAGGGCTGGGCATTTGGTTCTCACTCCAAGGGCGGTGCGGAGCCATCCGAGGACTCCTTAAATCGAGATCTCCTGCCTTACCCCTTGTCCGGTCCCACGACCTCCAGCCAGCAAGTCTACAGAGATGAATTCAGGGAGGGATGGAGCTTCCTGGAGACAAAAGGGCCCTGAGAAGCAGGGACCCCTCTGGCTCTCCCATCCATGGGCGCCGAGCGTGCCCTGTCTGCCTGCCTTTCTGGCCATGACTGGCCTACAGCGCCACATGTCCCCCTCTTGCCCACCCACCCCCACCGTACAAAGCTGCTAACTCCTGCTGCCTGCTTCCCACCATCAGGACCTCGATCTCCCATAACAGCAGGTGGGTCTCCTGTTGGTGGCAGGGCGAAGGGGCATAAATGAGCCCAAATGACCATCTCGGCCCCAGGCAGAGGGGGACACACGGGGCCCTTGCCCCTTCCGGGCCCCATCTCTTCTCCTCGGAGGGCAGACTGTGCAAGTGAT